AGTCGCTTATCAGAATCGATTGGGACGCTGACGGCCGACTCTCCTCTGACGGACGCTGACTCTGACTCTCCTTTGACTGACTCTGACTCTCCTCTGACTGACTCTGACTCTCCTCTGACGGACTCTGACTCTCTGCTGACGGACTCTTCTGACTCATCTAACTGGCTGACTCCTCTGACGGACTCTGACTCTTCTCTGACGGTCGACTCTCCTTACGCCTCACGGCGTAACGGGAACGGGAGTGCCTGCTGACCAGTGACAACAGAAAGTCGTCGGGAATTGATCGATGATCAATGGTGGACCGTTAGGGTGCTGACATTACGGGATTCGACTCTGCCAGAAATATCAGACCACAGATATACCTACGCAGCGCAGCAGAACAGTGGGACGGCTTGAATGGTCCTCGGGTGACGGGTCTTGCGGCCGGAATTCTTTCTTCAGTTGTTTACCAGCGTATTCACTCAGTAGCGGCGGAACACCTTCAATTAAAGGGACCCTCCCACCTTCAAAAAAGTTTATGAATTGGCATGAAAGTGATGTCGCTCGGTTCAGAAAGAGCGAAAACGAATATCTACCAAATTTCACCGAAAAATATTCACCGGTTTTCAAGATATTTGACTTTTACTTTTGTTTACTTTTTTTGGGATCTCCGCTGTTTCTAGCGACTTTATTTTAGAAGTGCGGCGTTTGCGGCAGATATTGCGCGCAAATAGCATATACCACCGCGTGCTACAAAACGTTTTAGTCAAACATTTAAAAATCGTTAGATATTTGCGCTGACGTCACACATTCAGAGGGGTATTCCTAAGCATTAGCCCCTCTGAATCAAAATGCTGCAATTTTGAAATTCAATATTTCCGATTTAAGGCATTTCTCGATGTTGTGAGTGCCGAAACCGGTAATTGTGAGCCAGGGACCCCATTTTGGCTATCTCAACTCAAATCTAATGTTAAGGTGGGAGGGTCCCTTTAAGGGGGGCATTGCCGACTTTTGGTCCCATTCTTTCCATGCAACGCCCATAGGGCTAATGTTGAAATGCCAAAATCAAAGGGGGACACGGTGCCCCGGTGCCCTCCCCGTTCCGCCGCCTATGTATTCACTGCTCGTGCACACCGCACCAGGCCCCCAGCCGGACTGACGCCTCGCCGCCGGAGGGCGGTGTGGGCCCAGGAAGGCAGCGTGGTCACATACCAGCGCTTACTCCCGCCATGGATAACTACACTGTCGGACCCAGCTCAGAGTTTAGGGAGGGGCAAACAATAACAATCTAGTGGCTCTTTCCATGCACTGTATATAGGCGTAATGTTAATTTTTGCCATTTGGGAGGGGCAATTGCCCTTTTTGCCCTCCCCTGGATCCGCTACTGGATAACTAACAAGTAATCCATGCTCCCACCGCATGGGTAGCGGAAGTCCCGGCGTCTTCAAGGAGGGGGAGGCTGCCCCACGGACAGGCCCCCCCCCTTCCCACATCGAGACGCGGCACTGCCGGCCTCGGGGGCGGGAGAGGGGACGCCCCCCCCCCCCCCGGGCCCGGGACAGACCTCCCACAGGGAGACCCCACAGACTTCAGTCTACATCCGCCGGGCCGGGACGACGGCGTCCCATCCGCCGCCGGCCAGCCGGCTTCCCGTTGCCCGCTCACTCACTACAACAATTTCTATCACATTTTCACCCCGTTTCGCTGTTGCGCTTAGTGAGTGGCAAATGCCGATCATATTGTGGTCAGTGGTCACTGATCCGGAATCATAAATCTGGCCGTGGCTGGGTGTTCACTGTTCAGAAACTGGATTGGAAAACGCAACAGATCTGACAAGATGTCTGGCGTGCAGGAGCTCTCCGCTGGCGCTACCTTTGCTCAGGTGTGTTTACTAGTTCATCGATGTCAACAGTCTCCGACGAGCAAGTCGTGGCCTAGGCACATACTAAAATATCGAAAACTGATAGTACCGTCAGTACCGAGCGGCCAGACACGAAAAAATCAAATGCCGAAAGATCGAATCGAGACGGTGGATTTGGGATTGCATGCCACACGGAGCCCCATTGAAGCCATCCTATATTCAACACCCAGCAACTACCGTCCGAGCAGATCGAGATTACAACGTCACCGGTCGATTCGCCGAATGCGATTATCAGACGCAAATCAGACGTTTAGAATATGGTGACCTCTAGGACCTGGGGTGAACCGTTTTCGCAATGCAGACATTATGTAGCTCAGCAACTACCGAGCAGATCTAGACTAAAACGTCACCAGTCGATTCGCCGTATGCGATTTCATCATGGTTGATGAATAAACTGCACACAACACAGTGGCCTCAGGTAACCTCAATTACCTCGGCGAGCGGCAGCTATGTTTTGTCCTCGATCGGTCGCAGTTACGAGTAACAAGTTGGTTGCTGTGGGCGAAGATGAAGACGTTCAGTTATCCCTCGAGGTCACCGAGGTCACATGACGTCTTCATATCGGTATTCGAAACGGCTGAATAAATCGCATGCCAATACGGTGAATCGACTGCAGAGGGCCGCGAAAATCATTCACATTCACATTGGTTCGGTACCTGGAAAAATGCGAATTCGCGTGATGCACTAAGCATGTAACAAACGGGGCGCGAAATTAGGCGAAGAACTTACCTATTACCGATACCCATTGCATTGCAATACCTGTTAATTGCATTGCAATTTGCAAGTCCCGCGGCAACTTGAACACCTGCTGTTCCAGGCGGTCAGAAAGCGACTAGACCACTTGCCTTGTTCGGGAATCGAACCCCGATAGCTCTATCTCCCAATAGGCAGGAAACTTACCCCTTGACCAGAACGCTCCCCGCCTTATCACGTCAAATGTCACCGATCAAATTCCATCGCTGCCCTCGTGTTGCAGTCACGATTGTTTACATCAAGGATAAAAAAAAAATTGGTGACATCTCCGATCACATGAAGTGTAAGATCATCAAATAAAACTATGGACGTCATTCTGTTTCAACCTTCTGATTGGAGGAATGAGTCATTGAACTTTGCGTTTGAGTGATGCTGTCTCGTCACTTTAACGGTACCTCGGAAAGACTGTCCCTGAAGCTGTCACTAGATGAAGCTACGACATAAATGCCGTTGCGAGCTAGGTGCCCAAATTCACACCTGTGAAGTGTGAGTGCTGTGACCGGCCAGTTACACCAAGCCGTAATGTGATATTACGACGTCACTGCAATGACAGCGTTAATTTTTTATGTCCACAGCATTTCAGTAGCGTATATTCGAATGCAGTATGAGTAGAGCATGGGTCCCGAAAAATTCTTCAGAAACTAGAGAAATTCTCGCGGGGCAGGACGTCTGTCAAACTAGCAGCGAGCTGCGAGCAGCGAGTCCAGCAGCGAGAAACGGGCCATCCCGATTTAGCTGAAAATTTGCTCACAGAGCTTTCTCAGCACGCTGATTCCGAAAATCATGGTCTCTAGGGTGGGAATCTTTACCGTTCTCGGGATAGAACCCTCTAAAGTTTTCGACACCCATGACCGGGCCATCCCGATTTGGCTGAAAATTGGCTCACAGAGCCTTCTCAGCACGCTGACTCCGAAAATCATGGTCTCTAGAGTGGGAATCTTGACCGTTCTCGAGATAGAACCCTTTATAGTTCTTACCACCCATGACCGGGCCATCCCGATTTGGCTGAAAATTTGCTCACAGAGCCTTCTCAGCACGCTGATTCCGAAAGTCATGGTCTCTAGGGTGAGAATCTTTACCGTTCTCGAGATAGAACCCTCTAAAGCTCTAACCACCCATGACCGGGCCATCCCGATTTGACTGGGATGGCCCGGTCGATTTGACAGACCATGATTTTCGGAATCAGCCGCAGCGTGCTGAGAAGGCTCTGTGAGAAAATTTTCAACCAAATCAGGATGGCCTGGTCATGGGTGTCGAAAACTTTAGAGGGTTCTATCTCGAGAAGGGTAAAGATTCCCACCCTAGAGACTATTATTTTCGAATCAGCGTGCTGAGAAGGCTCTGTGAGCCAATTTTCAGCCACATGGGGATGGCCCGGTCTTTGGTGCCGAAAACTTTAGAGGGTTCTATCTCGAGAACGGTAAAGATTCCCACCCTAGAGACCATGATTTTCGGAATCAGAGTGCTGAGAACTGAGAAGGATCTGTGAGCAAATTTTCAGCCAAATCGGGATGGCCCGGTCATGGGTGGTAAGAAATTTAGAGGGTTCTATCTCGAGAACGGTAAAGTTCTCACCCTAGAGACTATGATTTTCGGAATCAGCTTGCTGAGAAGGCTCTGTGAGCCAATTTTCAGTCAAATCGGGATGGCCCGGTCTTTGGTGCCGAAAACTTTAGAGGGTTCTATCTCGAGAACGGTAAAGATTCCCACCCTAGAGACCATGATTTTCGGAATCAGCGTGCTGAGAAGGCTCTGTGAGCCAATTTTTATCCAAATCGGGATGGCCCGTTCATGGGTGGTAAGAGCTTTAGAGGGTTCTATCTCGAGAACGGTAAAGATTCCCACCCTAGAGACCATGATTTTCGGAATCAGCGTGCTAAGAAGGCTCTGTGAGCAAATTTTCAGCCAAATCGGGATGGCCCGGTCATGGGTGGTAAGAACTATAGAGGGTTCTATCTCGAGAACGGTCAAGATTCCCACTCTAGAGACCATGATTTTCGGAGTCAGCGTGCTGAGAAGGCTCTGTGAGCCAATTTTCAGCCAAATCGGGATGGCCCGGTCATGGGTGTCGAAAACTTTAGAGGGTTCTATCTCGAGAACGGTAAAGATTCCCACCCTAGAGACCATGATTTTCGGAATCAGCGTGCTGAGAAAGCTCTGTGAGCAAATTTTCAGCTAAATCGGGATGGCCCGTTTCTCGCTGCTGGACTCGCTGCTCGCAGCTCGCTGCTAGTTTGACAGACGTCCTGCCCCGCGAGAATTTCTCTAGTTTCTGAAGAATTTTTCGGGACCCATGCTCTACTCATACTGCATTCGAATATACGCATTTCAGTATCCTTGTTTTGATACAGTCGTGCAAGGCCCTATATACCAGGTAGGGTCGTCCGGCGATTCTACCTTTTCGTGACGTCAGCTCGTGACGTAATTTGGAGTCAAGTCTCGAAGCCCCGTTCAATCCCCATGTAAATGAGCGATTTTCGAAGCACTGTAGAATGAAGTCTGCACAAGATATATCAAACCTAAGTATCTTATCTGAAAGAGCAGACAATTTTCTGCAAGTCATCTATTACGTGTTTTTCGCTAAATCTTTTGCTTTTTTCACAAAAGCGTAAAATGTCCCCCCATGTCTCCGCAGCCTCCCTGCCGCCGACCGCCGCGCGGTCGCGGTAGTGTAGTGGTTAGCGTGCCCGCGCAGTATTCCAAAGGTCCCGAGTTCGAATCTATGCGGTGCGGAACTTTAATTGCAATTCCAAGCTGAATATACGCACGTCGCACATCCATAATAAATTATTATTCGTATAGCTAAACTGTCACCAAGCTATCCATATAAATTGACTTCACCCAAAATATCGGCAAGATTCTATTAAAATATAAATTCAAATATGGCGGCTTGGACTGCCGCGTGCGTTAGGCTCCGCCCATAGCTCCGCCCACATGCGTGACGTCATTCGTGTTAGTGGACACGCAGAGAGATAGGGGACGACATGGGCCTGCAGTCGTGGAGCGATTGCGGCGATTGCATTTATTGCATTTATAGTGGCATTTATTGAGAAAAAATATTTTGGAGGACAGGTAAGGGGTTTCTTTTATTTTAAATTTTTGGAGAAAAAATGTTGCATATTTGTTTCCCCATCCCCTACCGATTTCTATTCCCAAATGTGGATTGTTGCTGTTAGTGAACTGTTGTTGAATTGATTCCGTTAATTGTCTACAGCCAAATTGTAGTTATGTCCATTTATTTTTGGACTTTTTATGCATATAATTAATGGTGTGCATGGCTACGGAATTTGATTTCTTAGATACCATTTCAAGAATTCAAATTTCACGCCTGCTAAGTTGTATTATATTATAGGTAGATTATGAATTGAATTATGGTGAGTCATACTGAAATGTAGGTTGAGGTGGCTGATTTTTTCAGCATATTCACAATAAATACCTTTATTTCTGTGAAACAATTTGATGTCTCATGTGTTTCATTCCCTGATAAGTTGTTTTATGTCCAGGTTTGATAGAAAAGGGGGATTTTGAATGCACAAAGTTGCTGGCGTCGCGATTGGAATCAATGTCGTCTCAGCAAAACGCAGGTGTGGAGCTTTGCAGCTTTTTCATCTTTAATTCAACCTTTGGACCCCGGGAGGGTGAGGTGAGTTGTCTGATGTTAAATGATGAGCGGATACTCTTTTCTGTTTGTCAGGGACTTGACAATAGGTAGAAATACACAAAAATAGCATATAAGTGCCTATACAAATACATTTTGACCAGTACCTGCACACCTTTTTACGCATTGAAATGAGTATCTAGTTCCTTATAAGTATACAAATTGTGTCAATTATAACAGCTTTACAATGAAGTTAACTGCTGATTTTCTTTCAAGAATCACTAAGCTATTAGTTTTTTGATCAAAAAACGGTATTTATTTACTTTAGGACCGGCAGCCTTTACTTTCGTCTCGAACCCCAAGTGATAGTAAGAAGCATATCACATTACATAATTTGACCTTTTGATTTCATAGCTGATAGTCATTCATGGCACAAACAAGTTTAAATGCACCAATACAACATTTACCGTCACCGCCGTAGATCCCCACCGACTGCGTACTCCACCGGCCACGCACTGTACTCCAAGGTTCAGTGAATACATATTAACGATGCTATTCAACTGTGAGGAAAGTGACGTCATGAAATTTCTCGTCGCGAAGCAGCGGCAGTGCCGAAGGCAATGCCTTAGGAGAGATTACAGGCAATGGTAGGTCAAATATTTTTAGGTTAAGTGATTGTGCATTAGGCTTCAGGCAAGGCCTGAAGCCTAATGCACAATCACTTAACCTAAAAATATTTGACCTACCATTGCTTGCAATCTATTCATGCGAGCAACTTTTCCCTTATCCCCGGGTAGGCAAACATCAGTAGGTCAGGTTAGGTAAGGTTAGGTTATGTTCTGATAATTTTTTCAGTGTTTAATTTGCTATCCTACCCCATATCACCCAATTTTTTATGACGTCATTTTCATTGAATTAAACATGCACACATTTTTCCTTTTCGCAAATGGCAACGGCGCAAACACGTTGTTTATATCATTAATCGCCGCATTCGTATTATTTCGTCGGTGTACGTTACGTGACGCAGGGTGAGATGGCTGGATTTTATCAAGTTTTTGTGTGACTTTTTGCACTTTTGGTGACATGTAAGTATCATTTCTTGATTTAGGATGTCAAATAATGGAAGATTGTCGAAAATTTCCCTTTGAAAAAGTGTGCCGGTCCTAAAGTAAATATTTACCCAAAAAACATTGTTTTCAGATTGATGTTTTTTTCAGATTTGCTATAAGAGTGTAGTTAGTAGTCCTCTTTAGGACCATCTGTCCTTATCTTTGTCACTAATGAAGATATTAACCTGTCACTTGATTGTCTGTGTGCAGGAGGAGAACAAAATCATATACTACCACCCACCCTCAGTCGACATCAACAGCAAGGTCAAAGATGTCGGCCTGGTCGAAGCACTGGTGCAGTTTTCGAGGTCAGTTATGTATTGGTTATATGCAGCTCATAGCCTGGCAACTCTTTTGGATCTCAAAACATTATTGTTTGCTGTCATCTCATGGTAGTGCTCTGTGTTGTGATGTGTATATTTTACCTTCCACAAAATGAAATTCCTGTTGACTCTTGTGGGTTATGGGTGAGAATGAAGCTGTTATAGGTTCTTATCAAGGCTATAGAACTCTTACCTTATAGTATTTTCCTGCTCTCCTCATGTTAAAAGTGTTCCTATGGTTACACGATGTGTAGCTTGTGCTTGTCTGTCATTGTAATCCAAAGTCTCAACAATTCCATTGATGAAAAGTGATTTGTTTGGCTAACCCCACGTTCGATGTCTCGGACGACGAAGATTCTACGCCGTCCGGCCAATCACGTTCCATAACCGCAGCCGAGCCCCCGCTGACCTTGAACGGGATTGGCCAGACGATGAAGAATCTTCGTCGTCCGAGAGACATCGAACGTGGGGTATATATGGCAAGGCAGCTGTGGCTGACACTTTTTGTGGCATTCACAGAACATTCAACAGTGAATCTCCTCTACTCAGCATGCAAACGCTGAAGCAAAAGCACTTCTTCTTGGAACCAGAGAAAGACTTCTTCATGACTCTGGTATGTTTTGGAGTGAGAGCTGGGGCATTCCACGATAGATCGTACCACTTTTTTCCAATTTGACACCCTCATCTCTCGGATTTTAACGATAATTGGTCTAAGGGGTAATCAGGGGCTCTGAATCCTCCTATAACAATTTCAGGCTTATCAGATGAGTGGTTTTTGAGTTATAGTGTATAACATGTTTTGGATCTTGCGTTGCAGCCCCAAGTTTGGCGGGCTGTAACTCAAAGACGGATAATCCAAATGCCAAATGCTATACGGCATTGAACTTGCATTGAAACAAAGAATAATATGCATTTTTAAAATTTTGAAATATACAATATTTTTGATATATAAGACCTCGAGTTTCCTTTCATTTGCATTTTTATGCCTTTGGGACCAAATTTTTTTGAATTTTCATTTACTTAAAAACATTTTTGGATCATTTTTAAGTAGTATGCAAAAAATTAGGAAGGTGTTCTTTCTATAAATGTACTTATTTTGCGTCACCGTAATGGTCTCGAATTGTGATTTCAGAAGAGAGCCTACAAATGGCGTGGTAAAGCTGCCTAGTGACATCACTGGTTACTGAAAGTCCAATTGAAGTCATTTTTGCCTCACTTTTGCATTGTTGACCTTGCGTGACGTCATTCGTACGTCACTAGGGTCATAAGAGTTTTTCGTCAATAACTCTCGATCAAATTGAGCTAGAGAGACGGGAAAGCTACCAATGGACTCGGGAAGAGCTTGCGAATCGAATGATGTGCAATATGATCTCATTCGCCCAGCTTCGTGGCCTGACCCGACTGTTAACCATCTCTGTGGCGGCGCTGTTTGTCCAGCGCCGCGCTGGTTGGCTTTGCCGCGGACTCGGGGCGGTCACGTGATGCCCGGGGGCTGGCTGCCGGCTGGGCCGCCCGGTCGCGCAGCGGAGCCAAGTACACGGCAGTGTGCTGACCCGAGGTCAGCGACTTAAGCTGACTTCACCAGGACAACCAGTATACCATTCGACGCGCCGGAGCTAGGCAAACACAAAGATGCTAAAATCGCGGCTCTGCGACCATTTGTTGCGAAGTTATCTACCAAAAACCGGACCCGTAATTTGGGTCACTTGAAATAACCTCAGGGGTCACCAATGAACCCGAGACCTTAAAATGTGGTATCATTCGATGCATCTTGTAACGGAGCACATGCTCGTTTTTTCGCAAGGTTCTAGCTCCATTAGAGGCGAAACGGCGAGCTGGGGTCGTACCGACCCCCCGGAAACCCATTTTGTATACATTTAAATGAGGAGCTTATAGAAAGAACACCTTTCTAATTTTTTGCATGTCGATTTTAAAGGAACTGAGGTTTATTTTGAAGAAATAAAAATGGCAAAAATTTTGGTCCCAAGGGCCATTATAGGCAATTTAAAAAATACTACGACTTTTTTCAATATGTAAAGCTTTTCTTTCCAATTTTAAAAATACTGTATTAATCTATGATTCATCGTTAGTTCAAAGCTGTTCACCGTTTGTTGCTTGCTTAGCTCGTTTTTTGAGTTATAGCTCATCAAACTCACCCTTACAATCTGAAGTTTAGAAAATATTATGCATTGTAACTCAAAAAGTTTTCATCTGAGAAGTCTGATATTTTGGCAGGTGTTTTTGGAGCCTATGATTACCCCTTGTACCAATTTTCATTCAAATCTGAGAGATGAGGGTGACGGGCCTGGTACGATCTATCGTGGAATGCCCCAGCTATCAGAGGTCTATGATATTTTTCTCCCATATTGTTATATATTTTTGTTGAATTGTATCCTGGATTTAGCTGAAATTAAAGTACCAATAAATTGTATTAATCCCCGTTCCAAATTTTGCTGAAAAATAGGACACATCTGTGCATTTGACCCTCCAGCAGAGCTTGCTGACAATGAGATTTACCTAGCCATACTAACCCCCACTCCCCATATTTGCGTGTTTAGCCTTGACTCAGTCGAGCTAAAAATAAATATAATTGCTGGCATGCCTCTAAAACCCAATACAATAAACAAGACCTCGACTCAGACGAATACCACGATCTGGACCTTTATATGCACGCATCTCCGTATGCAATGTAGCAAGGCCATATATCCCGATATAGCCTCGTTGCTGGTGCGCCCTGTTTCTTCCAATCATCACCACCCGCCTCTGGTGGACAGGTGGTGCGCCAGCCGGTCGAGGAGGTCACCAGAAACAACTCTCCGTACAAGGAGTACACCCCGGAGGCCGTACAGCAGTCGGTGTACCTCTCCGTGCTGCGACACATGTACCAGATGTACCGGCTGCTGCGCGGTACACTGGCGGCCCAGAGCCGCGACGAGCTGGTACGCAGCACTGCGGAGATATTCGACAGCGTGAGTACCTTCCGAAAATCGGCGGTAAAAAGCGGTAAAAATCGACTCTAGAGTCTAGAGAAGAATGAATGGTTGAGTTGCATGGCTGGTTCAGTTCAGTTCAGTTCATTGTATTTTATCAAATAAAATGTAACGAGTACCTCGCTTAGTTGATCATTTATCCTCCCCGTTTTGGGCCAATAACGTTCTCATCCCGTTTTTACCAGATTCATACCTGAGTTATGGCTGAGCAGTGTTCCTGACGCTCTTTTATAAATTTTAGGAACTGAAGGACGTACTTAAGGAAGCGTTCCCCGTTTCCTTAAGGACGTTCCGGTGCTGTGGCTGAACGTTTAGCTCCCTGTCTTTGTTTCCGCCAGTACGTGCCGGTGCTGCGGCTCCAGCAGCGCGACATTCGAGACGTCTACGGCGGCGTCCGCTTCCTCTCGCTGGATCGACTCGCCTTCCTGAAGCTGCAGAGCTTCGTCAACCAGCTGGAGGTGCTACACCCCTTCATCCGACACTCGGTCATCTACTACAAACAGCATCTCATCTGGTACGGATTTCTTAGTGCTTTCTTTATATCCGTATTTCTTTAGTGCTGTTTTTCGCTGCTTGTATGGAAGTTCTAGAGACCAACCTTCAATTAACTGGTTGGGATATTAATCATGACCGTAGGCCGTAGTTCGATGGCAATACCGTTGTTAGACATGTCAACTGTTTTCATTTGGCTTTCGTATCGCCAGTGTTTGCTGTTTCTCAACATTGATCTTGGTCCTGGTACAAAAGTCAATATTGTTTTACGTTATTGAACACACATTCGTCTCAATAATGTCGACGTTTATCTTCTGCATTACAAGTGTCCACGCTGAACGAATCATGCAAGTACCCATCAGTCTCACCTTGATGGGCTGACTATATTTTCATGGCTCTCATGGCTCCTAATAATCTTTATCGCCCGTTTGCTCTCATGTCCGGTTTCATATCCGGTCCGAGTAAAACCAACGTGGGCGTCATCCACTAGTACTTAGAGACTGTTCATAAAAACCTACTAATAGCAAACATCCGCTACAATTAGTCCGGTCTACAGGTCCGACCAACATGAACATCACCCACTTGTACTTGAGTTGGTTCATAAAACCTACTATATAACAACAAACATCCGTTACAGGTCGGGTCTGGGTAAGACCAATATGGGCTCCATCCACTGGTATTCACTGGTAACTTAGGACAGCCAATAAGCCCTAATTGATCGCCCGTTTTCCGTCACGTCGGGTCTGGGTAAGACCAACATGGGCATCATCCAATGTCACTCATTGGTAACTTCAATAAGCCCTAACTGATCGCCGGTTTTTCGTCAGGTCCGGTCTGGGTAAGACCAACAGGGTTCCATCCACTGGTATTCACTGGTAACTTAGGACAGTCAATAAACCCTAATTGATCGCCCGTTTTCCGCCAGGTCGGGTCTGGGTAAGACCAACATGGACATCATCCACTGGTATTCACTTAGGACGGTTAATAAACTCTAATCTGTTTTCCGTTACAGGTCGGGCCTGGGTAAGACCAACATGGGCATCATCCACTGGTACCTGGAGACGGTGCTGTTTCCCGAGTGTGGTCCCGAACGGCCGGCCGTCTGGAAGGAACGCACCGCACCCACCAGCGGAGTGTGAGTCGACCTCCGCCGGACGGAGATTCGGGGGACCATTAAAGCTCCTCAGGTGCCATTTCCATTTGTGAATTCATTGTCATCATCGTTCATGATTGACCATCTTTAAAACTCAATATTATGTTATCCAGCGATTGCTTCACAGTATAATGAGCGGTAAATGAACGTGAACCATAGAGAACATGGGCCCCGAGGGTCCCGACGGCCACAGGCCGGCGTTTGGGGAGGTGCCATGCTGCATGATGAGGTAGTGGTATTTCTATGGGGAAAGGCTTGAGGGCTGATGGTGGGTAACTGGGTAATGTTGGGGGGCTGGGGCTGAGGAAGACCCATGGAAGTCGACCTCATTTTGAAATGTGCCCCATCTATGCCGTGTGCTCTTCAGTATCAAAGTTAGTTTCAACATTTATCAATTGTTTACTGTAGAATATCACGTTTTACTTATATCAGACCTTCATGCTCCCCTCCCCTCCCCTTTCTTAGCTTCATGTCCACCGAGGCATCCGGTGACGGCACGGATTCGTTCCTGGCGCCGCCTATCGTCCACCTGCGGAAGCACAACTGCACAGCTCTGCCGCTGGGCGGCGCTGCGGACGGCTGCAGCAGGGACGGGGATGACAGTTGGAACGGTGGCGATCCGGTGGAGGCGACGGACGAGCGGGCTCAGCTGGTGCTCTACCGACTGAGAGACGTGGTGGTCGTCCTACTGGTGGACCGTGAGTTGGGAATGGGGGCTGCCGGGACCAGGAAGCCAGGAAGGGTGAGGGAAAGGGGTGGCCTAGAAGTAGGGGTGGGTAGGAAGTAGGAATAGAAGGGCGTCAGTTGAGACGGCATAGTCAGTCGAACAGTGAATCGCAATGTCAGATGGTGGACCGTTTTGGAAGGTCTCGCCACTGGAAGCACGGCCTTGCCCTGTCCCTGTTCCGAGAGTAAGATGCCTCACTGGTCTGACATTGACTCCTCGCTCTCCTGTGGATTTACCTCACTCTAGTCTGATCTCTGACCTCTGTCCCCAATGGAGGTGCCCTCACTCTGGTCTAACGTTAACCTCTCTCCCAGAGGACTTACTTTACCCTAGTCTGGCCCCTCTGTCCCCAGTCTGTGGAAGTGCGCCTCGCTCTGGTCTGACATTGAACCCTCTCTCTCTCCCCAGTGGAGGTGCGCCTCACTCTGCCCCTCTGCCGGGAGCTGGATGCCTCGATGGCTGGACCCGTTCAGGAGCTCTCCACTCTACTGAGTAGCGCCATCAACGACGACAAGTCGTCGGGCAAAGACGACGGAGACACGAAGTAAGTCGGGGAGGAGCGTGTGAAGGAAAGGGATGTGGTTTTCGCTTCTTATCCCATTAATGCCGCTTGGGTCATATATGACCCAAAAGCAACATCTTAACATTTTTTCTGAATGGAGGCAAGTGGCACTTTGAGGAACTTGTGCGTGTGTTTTGTTGGATTTGTGGGTTCAGCGACGAGCGTCGGAGCCGCATAAAACTCGTGTGAGCTCGTCCACTGAAGTTTCTGGAGCCAAAGACGACGGGACTGCACAGCCGCCGGTCACTGGCAATGGCGCGCCGTCCTAAAAAGTAATATTATGCTATGTTTGCACTTTACTATCAATTGAATGATCGTCCATCTGGCATCTAAATTTGTCTGAAAAAGGCATGCTGTATATTTTTGCCCTTCTTGTCGCCATCGGATAACTTTTTTTCCTCGATAAATATCATTGGGTCATAAATGACCCAGCCGGCAATAGTGTTGTCAATTTTCTCGTATGTTGAATACAAGGGAAGCAATTGATGATTAAACGATTATTTATTTCTGGGGGTTGTGATCAGATCACAGTGGCGGATCCAAGGGAGGGGGGTCATATGGGTCACTCATGACCTCCCCTGGGACCCGGGGGCACCACCGACCTATCAGGGGCACCACAGGCCTAGTGTTGCGATGTTGGGATATCATGAGCGGACCGGTTGTCCGGGGCCGTGACGCGGGGCGGGCCGGCGACTGGGCCGGCCGAGGGGCACCACGGGCCTGTCAGGGGTACCACAGGCTTGTTAGGTGCACCACAGGCCTGCAAGAGCACCATCGGCCTAGCAAGAGCACCACAGGTCTGTCAGGGGGCACCACAGACCTGCCAGGGGCACCAGCCAGAGGCCCGCCAGGGGCACCATCGACCTCACAGGGGCACCACCAGCCTCGCACGTGCACCTTGGGCTTGTAAAGGGCTCCACGGGCCTGTCGGGAGCACTTCAGGCTTGTCAGGGGCACCACAGTCCTGCCAGGACCCAGGGGCACCAGCGGCCTAGCAGGAGCACCACAGGCCCGCCAGGGGCACCACAGGCCTGCCAGGGGCACCACAAACCTAGCAATGGCACCACAGATCTGTCAGGGGCTCCACAAGCCTGTCAGGGGCACCTCAGGCTTGTCAGGGCCCAGGGGCACCACAGTCCTTCCAGGGACACCACAGGCCCGTCAGGCCTATGGTGTCCCCTCAGGAGCACCAGAGGCCTAACAGGGGCACCACAGGCCTGCCAGCGGCACCAACGGCCTCGCCAATGAGACGTTGCAAAGCATTGCAATGCAGTGCCTCTTAATATTGTTTGGCTGAGACCGCTATACAGTATACACAATAAGGTATCTAGCTAAATCGGTTCTCGTGATAACTCCTTATTTGTGACTATGCCAATGCCGGTTGGGTCATTTATGACCCATACTTATAACTTGAGAACCGATGGAACAATTTTTTAAGCTTGCACAGTTTTCTTACTGGGACCCGTGTGGCTAACATTTGTTAAGGACAACTAAAGAATCAAAAAATAAAAATTCCGGCATTAATGGGTTATCAGGCAAATGTCAGTGAACTAGCTGGAGAAAGTGGCCATCGCTTTCGACAGGGATTATGATTCTTATAACTCTTCAGCTTCATTCAAAAGGAGGAGTTGCTCATATTGCATTTTAGACCCAATGCTGCTGAGTTCTGGTGGTATCATAGTTATCCTTACATCGGCCTATCTGTCGAATACCTGGCTGGTACATCCTCTGCTATAACCGATTTACTATTACTGATCTACCTAAACCGACGTATTATTATCCTGTTCCTGTCTGACCGATACAATAATCGGTGCGCCCGTAGACTGGTGTGCTATTTGCGGTGTATTGACCCGTGGTTGGCGCTTCCCGCAGACTGATCTACTATAACCGGTGTAACCGCGCTCAGAAGAGCAGCCTGCACGGCCCGACGGCCGCCTCTGTGCCGTCGGACGCCCTCCAGCTGATGGTCGACCTCAGAGAGGACGCGCTCAGGTCGGGTCACCGGCGGCGAGGGGCGATGTTTACCTTCACTGATCGGTGTTTGGAGGGAGGCAAATGTACAGACTATGGGCAGAGGGACAGATTTCATTTTATTTTATTTTATTTTATTTTATTTTATTTTATTTCATTTTATGAATTTTTGAGTTTTTTGTGTTGTTTTATTATGTTTTCTTTTTTTCTTTTAGCGAGGAACGATTCCTCTTTTTTTCCCGTCGTATGCGTTCCCGTTATACATAATCGTGGGTCTTGCGAGTTTGTACCAATACTTACGGGTCGCTATGAGTAGTCCACAGTGCTGTTGTTATATTGTATAACTGCGTTTATGATAGAGCTGCCCCACCTTTGACAGGTTCCAGGGTGACGGCGGCGCGATCTTCGGTCGGGCCATGAACGAGACCTGGGTGGCCGGCCGGGTCAACCCCAATAGGGAGTTCTTCTCCGTGGTCCAACAGAAGAATATGAACCTTATGGACGTCAACAGTTAGTAAAATGACCGTAGGACATTTTAGGACCGTATCCGTATCACCCGAGGACCGTATCATCTTCTTAAATATTCCGATGATTTTTCCAAATTTATGTCGTAAATACTTACTTTTGTGTGTATTTCATTACCTTGTTTGTGCCTTTATGATATTGCGAATGGCTAGGCCCAACCAGACTAGACAAGACAGCAACCGGACTGCTAAGTTTCTATTGTAAAAAAAAAACAGTGACGCCTATCTTGATGACGTCCACTCACCGGTGTCCCTCCCCTTTTTCTGTCCAAAGATGAGATGGAGCAGCTATGTAAGGACCAGTTTAGTACAATCTTCTTCCCGGCATGAGCCACCTGTGCCCACCGAGCTCCTGCAAGTGGCGACTCTATCAACAAGGTCCGGCTGGTCATCCACCGAGTCTGATCAAAGGCAACAGTGTCTGCTATGTCTCTACAATAGCGACGATGCCTACCGAGGAATGACTGACGACACAAAGTCAATGCAAGGGAGACAAATTAGAGGAGCACATACACAGGAAGAGGAGTAGCCGGGACCTCTCAGCTCCTGAACGTCTTCCCAGTCTCCTTGAGAATCTGCTGAGTTTGTCGTAGAGCTGGGGTCTACTATCGGACACTGTCCAACAGCCCGACAGTCCTATGACACATCAACAACTACCGAATATTGACCTGATAGCTCGAACTCACCCATTCTGTCTCGGCCTCGAGTGTCGGTTATCTCTGGCTGAGAGAGGGAGGGAGACGATGGTAGCGCTGTCTCCTGTTCGTAATGACCCGCTATATGAGCATCGGTGATGCTGTGCCTATGAAGAGGTATACGCAAACTTTGGCACAGGTCTGCTGTGATCAGCTGGAGAGACATGTAAACTTATGAACTGCACTGCGACTATGTGAAGGATAGATAGACAAACCACTAGCGCTGATCCGAGGTTTACCATGAAGTCGTTGCACGGCGCTGGTTCGCTGTTAATGGAGACAGACACGAATACGACAGCTGATACCGAGTGTTTGCATTATCTACACGGCTGTGGGATGTGGGTGCTGGTGCGATGATATGATGTTTTACCCAGGCGGTGCTGCTGATACACCGTTCGGGACTTATATCTTGCACACAATGCGAGGACAGTGTAATGTGTCTTGTGCCCGATTCCTGAACGTGTGCTTGTATCATTTGCACATTGTAATTTATGTGGCATTGTAATCTGTCGCTTTGGTTGTATGTTTCATACCCACAATCCTGAAAATGTATGGGAAAATACTGTGATATGACGTATACCTCTGTAGCTCATAATACAGATTAATCATCGAAAGATGCTTGTTACCTGTTAGCTTTGGATCAGGCATTAGAGTGCGAAGGAAGTATGGCACTGTAGTTGATAGCGGTTGGTTATCTAAGTGCTAATTCTTTTCATTGATATGTTCGTCTTAAGAAATGGTGATACCGCTCGATATTGTACGATGATACGCCAGAGGCGAAGACCAGGCTAGCCGCAAGATTGGACCAGCCTCCAGCGCCACCACAGCGCCACCATCCTGTGATGGTACTAAATGGAACTAAAAGTTGGTAGGCAACCGATAGGAGAGGGGCTGAAACGGTTTACCGAGGCCGAGCGCAGCACCGGCATGCATTTGTCGAGGCGGATCACACTTGCACTGGCCCAACAGGACCAGTACCAATTAGACACAACCCATTGGCCAGTTGTTTCAGAGTATAATGGATCTGGTTGCGCTATTTGTACCCAAAAAGTAAGCATCTTTGTGTCACCATTCGCACGAAATGGTTAAAATTGTTGTATAGGGCATACTACCTAAGATTTGTACTACGAAATTGAATCAATTGCAATTGGTAATATGACTCTTAAAGGAAAAGGGCCACCTTTAACATGGGGATTGAAACTGAGATAGCCATCTTGTAGCCCGTGTCCGAAAACTTATTTGTGTACCTCCTTACGGCCGATTTCGGCCTCCATTCGTAGTTATCGGCAATTTTAAAAGAAAATACGCCAGGAATGCGTCCTTATCCGAGGAATGCGTTCTTATCCGACAATACAGCCACCCGCGGCGAGGCTTTGGTTTTTTACCAATCAGCTCCAACCAGCTCAGCTTTAACCAATCAGCTTATCTGACACAATCCGACGAGTCTGTCTTCTGAACGCTGATTGGCTTGAGTGTGACGTCATCGCTATGCCATCATACAGTAGGTGCCGTAGAGAGTATCAACATAGTACCAATATGTTAAATAGTTTTAAATACTTTTTCGCGAATTGTGCACTTCTGGCACCAGTTTTAAAAAGAAAATGAAAAATAATAATGTCAAAATGAAAAACAACGATATCTTCATATTTCACGAAGGTGGCCCTTTTCCTTTAAAGGAAATAGTTCACTTTCACGAAATTATATTTTTTGCAATGGATTTATGATTTTTTATGTTCAAAATGATCAGCAAAGAAAATAAAACCTTTTTATAACAAAATATTATTTTCTATATTTTTGATATAGGAAGAACTTTTCAGTTTCTGTAAGGCACACGCGATCCAGTATGAAAAGAGCATGGGTCCCGAAAATTCTTCAGAAGCTAGAGAAATTATCGCGGCCACCGGTATGGCCACCGGCATTTGGGCGATCTGCTCATGCTTTTGTTACTGGAGCGCCTCTGAAGAATTTTCTGAATAATTTTCTTTTGTTGCTGGAGCGTTTCTGAAGAATTTTCGGGACCCATGCTCGTTTCATACTGGATGCAAATATATGCAAGGCACACAACCTCAACGCAAGGCACCTTTTTCGGGACGAGAAATATAATATCTTTGCCTAGGGTGATCGTTGGGCTGTAAAAGCTCCTGATTTATGCTCGTCTCAGCCCAAGCTACGGAACTGCTATTCCAGTTAAAAACCCATGTTAAAATGTGAACTATTTCCTTTAAGTGCCCTGGGTAATATCTTATACCGAAAACATCAGATAGTGACGGTGTTGACAACTCTGACTGCCGGTAACACCTGACAGTGACTGCAGGGTTGACGGTGTGACGACTGCCGCTGGTACCGTAACAAGTAGTGACAGTGACGGCGATTGTAACGATAACCGGCGGCGTTCTGCGGCCCACCGACCACCTCAGACACCCGCACACCACCCCACCCGTGGGAAAACCGACCACGCGCCGCTCCGCCGCCGTCGCGCCCCCGGGCGGCATTACTCTACCGACACCCTCGGGCGGGCGACATGGGGCAACACTCACACACCGGGTGACAGACACGCCTTCACTGGGTGTGGTGCAGATATGGGGTGGTTGGGCGACACGGTTACTAAATGGTGGTCAGATTTGCAATGACACACAGGATTGCATGGAGCTGTGCGCACCGGCCTATGTGGTTTATTTATAGGCCACAACTTAGAAGGGGACACTCACGAACGTGAGATGTTGGATCCTTGCTTGTAATCACCTTAAAGGTAGTGTGCCAGCTTTCTTGGACCGTATGGAGTTAATGGCCCAGATAAGGAGAACCGGATTTTTAGAACTTATCCATACCTTCAAAACTCATGGAAACGTCTTAAATTCTTCAAATTTTGAGTACCCCAGTGCGAAATTCGCCCCGACGGGTTGTCGGTCGTACCCCAACCACATTTCACACCACTATGAACAATAAATGCACACACTGAAATCGCTATTACCGATATGCTCATCCAATCAAGTTTCGATAAACCCGTTCATCATCATCTCCTGCGGTTTCGAACACGCCTGTTAGGTGGCTTCTGATGCTCGTCGAGGTCGGAATTTCCAAATACGCGTGGTGCGTCGGGCCGCGCGCTCTGACTTCGGCCGAGAAAAATGCGTCAGCTGATCATTGTCATTTCTGCCACTTGCGTGTGGTGAAATGGGGTCATAACTTATAAGACGGCTTTTTCATATCAATTATTTTACATAAAATCATATTTCAAACCATAAATTATGTTCGACAGCCAAATAAAAGAAACAATACCAATACGGGCTTACAGTTTAAGGCTCGACATTGTGTTGTCTACGATTAGACAGCTGATAACTCATTCCCGTACGTCGTATGGTCGTAACACTATAATGACCTTTGCTTATTGTCACAAGTGCGCCGCATTCGCGATTGTTGCCCGACGCCTGTTTGCAGGTGAGCCCACTACAGTTGTGATACATATCTAAAAACCGAAAAACTTTTAGGCGAAAAAGGCACTATTCCAGGCCCATTTTTGATTTTTTTTGCGATATTTGGTAAAACCAGAAGCTTCTTATCCTAGGAAAAATAAAATGGGAAATCTTTCAAAGGTGGCACACTACCTTTAAGACTTTACCGAATTCAATTTGATTATCTGTCAATCTTGAAAATCGAAATATTGCCGCCGCCGCCGGCATGTTAGCCCTCGCCCGCACATGGGGGGGGGGGGTGGTTGCCACCCCCCCCCCCAGGCAGTCTTTCTGCTCTGCACTCAACATTTTTAGAGCTAGAAGGCTGATTTTTCGTATAGCTGCTCGTCTATCCTTTCTTGATGTCCACTGAAAATTTCCAGTTTCTGTGATTTTTGGTTTCGGAGATATGACCTTGTTTTTCAGGTCATGTCATGACCCAAATGGCCAATTCTCAACATTTTGCGTTTGCCATGGGCCTTGTGAGCTTTTGACAACCTGATTTCGACCTTTTTTGCCAGTCTTACCTCCCACCTATCATGGAACATGTTGTTCGACGATGTACAGGGGTCAAGGTCAGGGTCAAGGTCAACCTAGGTCATCTAAGATAATTGCGTTTTAGGCAAGCTGAATTTACTTTTTGTGAAGTTTTTTGACTGCATTTTTGGTAAACGCTTCTCAGATCATGATTTCATGTGATATGGACCCAAAAACAATCGGTGCACACATCAGTATACACACAGACACACACAGACATACAAACACATATAATTGACCTTGACCTAACTTGACCTGAAATGACCTCAGCAGCAAAATTATGGTCGGATGGTGTGAGAAAGAGGTTCTAGCTGGCTTGGCACCAGAAAACAGCATCGTCATCGGTATTTGATAAGCAGCGCACTTGATATCCAACGGTGACCCAAAACAGCAACATTTTTAAGTTTGACCTGACCTGGAAGGTCAATGACTGACCTGAGAAGGTAAAACTGGGTATCATTGGATTCGTCTCTTCCCAAAGAATCTTTTTGGTCTTTACTGCTAAGCTCTATCTCCAACAGGAACGAAATGGCGCGGGGGGGGTGGCAACCACCCCCATGTGCGTTCTAGGATGGGAAAATGGCATGTGCGGGCGAGGGTTAGACTCTGCATGCAAAGTTAGACTGACGAAAATCGAACCATCTAAAACATATCAATATCGGACGTTCGCGTGGAACTGCGCTGATCCATACCTAACCCCCGTCAATTGTGCGAGCCGCAAACTCCATTCAGCTACCGTCGAACCGAATTCCTCCCTGGGCTCCCGCTCTACCCGGTGGAACACTGATCTGGCTCTCTCCGCACGTGAGGACTGAAACGCGGACACGATGTCACGCAGTTATATAACCGAGCGTACGGTTCCGAATGAATGGATTATAGGACGTAACTGCATATGACAGCTTTCGGGTAACTATGATTTCATCCTGTTCATAGTTAAAGGGACCCTCCCACCTTCAAAAAAGTTAATGAATTGGCATGAAAGTGATGTCGCTCGGTTCAGAAAGAGCAAAAACGAATATCTACCAAATTTCATCGAAAAATATTCACCGGTTTTCAAGATATTAGACTTTTACTTTTGTTTACTTTTTGGGATCTCCGCTGTTCCTAGCGACTTTATTTGAAAGTGCGGCATTTGTTGCGCGCAAAGCAGCATATACCACCGCGTGCTACAAAACGTTTTAGTCAAACATTTAACGGACGTTCGAAAGCCTGATGACGTCATCAGATTCCCGTAATGGTTAGGGTCCCTTTAAAGGGACCCTCCCACCTTCAAAAAAGTTTATGAATTGGCATGAAAGTGATGTCGCTTGGTTCAGAAAGAGCGAAAACGAATATCTACCAAATTTCACCGAAAAATATTCACCGGTTTTCAAGATATTAGACTTTTACTTTTGTTTACTTTTTTTGGGGTCTCCGCTGTTTCTAGCGACTTTATTTTAGAAGTGCGGCGTTTGCGGCAGATGTTGCGCGCAAATAGCATATACCACCGCGTGCTACAAAACGTTTTAGTCAAACATTTAAAAATCGTTAGATATCTGCGCTGACGTCACACATTCAGAGGGGTATTCCTAAGCATTAGCCCCTCTGAATCAAAATGCTGCAATTTTGAAATTCAATATTTCCGATT